ATATTAATAGGTATGTTTTCATTTGTGTATAATCACCAGAAAATAGGAATCATTGTGTTTTTGCTACCTTAGAATGAGCTGCTTTTATCTGTAGAGGGAGCGGGTGTGTGGCCGGAAAACTAAAACACTGGTTCTAGATAGGGCTTTTCGCGTCACAGCCCGTTCTCAGTCCCATGTCATCAAATACAGACCTGAGCAATGTTCAGTTAGTTGGCACCACAAGATGACACTAAATCCTACACACTGGTCCTTTAATACAACATTTAATATATTTGGAACTAGGCATGCGACGATTATCTTGGCCAAAATACGATATTATCACAAAGATTTTAAATATACGTAATACTTTTAACACTAAAAAATACTAGAATCTCTTTTACTTTTTATTAACAAACACATATATTTATTGCATTACAGATTATCTGATCTCCCTGCTCTGTATTTTGGAATCTATACCATTTCCGGACATCCAGCAATCCACCATGATAAATAAATGTTTTCTATCACCATATGCAATAATATTGTATATCATCCCATCCCTATCTGGAACCTCTTCCATCATGCAATCACTCAAATGTTAGAATGATTTGTAAACTTAAACCATAAACATAAACTGCTAATACTAGGGACATTATGAAGAGCATATTTGATTTTTATTGTGAATTAGAGGATAATCAGTGGGCAACCCGGCACCCTAAATTTGGCCCGCAGGGCTCAATATGAGTCACCTTCAAGCCGCAAAGGAGAAACTATGGTGGCCACGAAACTTGCAAAAAATCGCAAACGGCCCTATCTACAGCCAATGTTTGATTTGTCTATTCTGGGCGATTGTATAAACATGGTGGTTGAACATGGTGGCCTCCATGGAAGGCGACCCGCCGCGTCTGTAGATATTAAAGGCTCTTTCTAAGAATGAGTCCTGTATTCAGGTGATTATACACTAATAAAAACTTATGAATATTATATTTAATTTCTGACAATATACTGTATCCTCCTAAATGTTACATACTGGACCTTTAAGTAGAGAAGTTGCTGAAACTTGACAGTCTCATAGCTAAACAGTTTCACAATTTACAATCTCAACTATTTTAACCTCTTATGTCATGAAAATAATATTTAACTTAAGACATTTTATAATTTCAGGCAGAAACACTGAACAAAATTGATTATAACATCAGAAGAAGATAATTTCTTCTTCATTTAAACTGTAGCTGTAATAAACCCACTCACTCTAAAACCAGATAAGTTAATTTAACTTAACAGTGCTCCAGTCATATCACACTCCTGCTATAAAACAGCACTAAACACTACAGCTTACAATTTATTTGCAATGCATTAGAAATGAACAAAGGTGCAGCTGCAGGTAACCATCTTCTCAGGGCTATTTTTCACTTGGTGATTCCAAATACACTTTAGTGGGTGAACACGCTAAATGTTACATTGGGATTTAATAAATATACTTTCATTGATTAAGCATTATATTGTCTTGATTGTCTCTTGAAAAGGTAAAAACTCTAAAAACTCTCTTCGGAATTAATTATAACTGTTTTGTTTCAGCATACATTTTTAACATCCAACGGTGACTTTCAGTGGTTTAGTTCGACTTTGTACCTTTTCAATAAAAAGTGAACCAGCAGTAGAAATGAGTAACAGTCTCTCACTTATTTAATGCAGTATAGATTAAGTTACCCATCTGCTGCTTTCACTAGTTGTACACACACTGTGAACTCACACACACACACACACATACATAATCCAAGTCACTACAACACTGTTGTTTTTCTCAAGCCTGAAGCCTTCTCAAAAAGTTTATGACATTATCTTAAAGGTCTACTGTGTAACATTTTGTAAGATTTGTTATTATTTATAAATTGAATATAATATCCATAGGTATGTTTTTATTAGTGTATAATTACCTGAAAATATGGATTGTTGTGTTTTTTGCCATGTTTCTACAGTAGCATAGAATGGACAAACGCTTCTTTTGCGCATTTCACGGCCACCGCAGTTTCCCCTTTGCACTTGGAATGGGAGGGTGAAGCAAGGGAGTTGCAGTCTGCAGCTAAATCCTATACACTGGTCCTTTAAACAGTAATAACGTTGACCTTATTTAGCATATGTTGTTTAGAAATAATGGATAATATGTACAAATATACTTAAGTAATCGATGCTCATTAGTGTCTGAGTATTTCATGAGGATTTTAGTGTATATCCCAGCTGGACGTTGATGGAAATCCAGAATTGTAAATAACAGCACATCCAAAGTTGACAGTTTGCTGTGTGCTACTGTAATAAATAGTATTAGTGTTGTATTCTGGGTTGGGCTAAAGGGACAACATGGCATCATAGAAGGAAGCTGGCATCTTCATTCAGTGATATTTGCAGCACTGGTTAGCTAAATTTGAATTTGGATGTGTGCTTGGTGTTAGGATGTTTCTTTGATTCTCCATTGGTGTAAGTGTTATGCAGATAATAGCATAAGTTGCAGTGTTACTTTTATGCGTACGGTAGGTATGAATTCATTGTTTGTGCCAGTAGTACAACACAAGCCCTTTAATCCCACCCACTGTTTGATTATGCTGCATCAGCATTACAAAAAAAGCCTGCAAAATTTGGCAACACAATGCTGCCATAATAGCATGATTCATGTGTGGTAGCCATTAAAATATCACACTATGTCAGCCATGACTGTCTCGAAAATTCACTTCACAGATGCCCTTTGGATCCAACTGTGCCCAGGCTGTAGCATAGCCCCACACACCCGCAGCCTCATTCCTGTTCCATAAACCTTTGATTCTTCCTCCTTTTGCTTCCCTTCTTCCTTTACTCTGCTTCTCTCCACCCCCTCTCTGATTTCTTCTCCCTCTGCCTCACTCTGTGTGTCAGTAAAGCCAAGAGAGGGAGAGAGAGAGACCTGCTTTCTGCTGGCTCTGCATTATGAGAGGGAGAGCGAGGCTGAGGAAAGATAGGAGCATGAGAGAGAGGGATGTGAGAGAGTGAGCGCTAGCAGCAGTTAAGCAGAGAGCCTGTGCCAAGAGGAGGAATGCAGCACTGCATTATGAAAGCCATAGGATATAGGTCCAGCTCTCTGTAAAGATAAAGGAGAGAAGCAGAATTTAGATGATAAAATCCATCGTGTACGCGGTTGTTATTACAACACAAGCTAAGTGAATAATGAAAACATCACCCACTATCATATATAACAGAAGAATGTGGAGCCTAAACGCTTGTTTCTTAAAATAAGAAATCTGCATCATCAGGCCCTTTTAAGTCACAAAGATCTCCACTATACATGAGTTTTTGTGAGCCAGATGCAAAAATATCCCAAATCTTTGTCATAGGAGGAAAACACCTCCTTCTCCCCTAAGTCTAGGTATGGGAGGAGACTGCTGATAATCTATTTCAAGGAAGAGCTTCATTGACACAAAGGAAAATGCCACAAGCTTTGATCTCACCGCATCTACTCATCCAGATCACGTCATGAACAAAGCCCAAGATTTAGGGGAGGGAAGACGAGCATAGACGAAGGACAGAACAGGGGTTTATTAGACCTGCCATGCATGATTTTTAGGTCAGCCCGAGGCCGAACTTTGCTCCATACACCTGCCTCTCTGCAAGCAGGGGGCTCCAGCCTTGGCATGGAGCTGTGTTTTCCCGAGCTATTTTGGGGACAAAACTGAATTTAGCCGCTCACTTTCAGCATTAGGAAATGTTCATCTCACAGCCTTTCTGTAATAATGTAATACATAGAACATATTGAAACAAGATCCACATGGTTCATGGTTTAGAACAGCATAAATTCCCTTCGGTAAAGACATCTGCTAAAAGGTTACCAGTTATCTAAAAATCATTTTCATGGAATGGAAATGGATTTAGAATGAATACACTTCGATTTGGAGATAGATTTTCTCTGTGCTTGAAATCTAAAATGGTGGACAGTTCTGTGCAGCATTGTGCAGTTCACAGATTTCTGGTACCAAGTGAGGCAACAACCGTCTCAGCCCATAAGAACCACATCCCTGGAAGCAAAAGCTGACATTAAAGTAGTGCACCAGTGAGAAGCAAAGTCACTCAGCCAAGAAATGACAGTCCAACACGTAATGTAATTTTTAAATAGGATAGCTTTAATATGCTTCGAAATACACAGATATTTATGTTGATCAATGTGTTATGCAGTCACTTTAACAGTACTCTCTTTCTTTCTCCAGGAGGGTCAGGAGCTGATCCAGGAGAAGCCGGAGCTGCGTTCAGTCGTTCAGCAGAAACTGGAAGAGATCAGAGAGTGTTGGTCCGACCTGGAGAGCACGACCAAGGCCAAGGCCCGCCAGCTCTTTGAAAACAACAAGCCCGAGCCGGCGGTGAAGAGCTACTCGGACCTCGACAACCAGCTCTCCCACCTGGAGCAGCAGCCCCCCCAGCTGGAACAGGCACACCATCTGCCCACCTTCAATGAGCAGCTCCAGAAATTCCAGGCAAGTCTCAAGGCTCTCCAGGGTCTGTCTGAGAAGCTGTTGGCACTGTGTCTTGTGATAAACTCAGGTTACTGAGGCCCAAATGATTCTTTCATGTAAGGGAAAAGTGGGCTGCTTTCTTGCCACGGATGATTAAATTGGAGGAGTTAGCACCAGAAATTGGTCATCCTCTGACTCTATTTTGACCTTGTCGAGCACATTGTCCTTCGTACTGCCCTGCACATTTCCATATTTGCACTCAGGTGTCTACACAACTTTTATCCTGTAGTTTGCTTTGACATATGTACACATCAGGCCAATACCCATTTTTTATTTTTTATTTTTATTATTATATTTCTTTTTCTAATTCTTACTTTTTACTCTTATTCTTCTTATTAGTCTCAAGAGTTGGCCAGCCTGCACTTCACTGCTCAGATTGTAAAAGCATGTGACAAAAAAAAAAAATCTAAATATCAATATTAAACCTCAGTGGAAAAAGCTTTTGGGAGGTTTTCTGTAAATATGGAACATCAGGTAGAGCAACAAGCTTAGATTTTTAGTCACTATTATACTTATCTTTTTTTCCTGGGCTTCAGCAGTGGAAATGCTGCTTGCCGGTTAGGATTCCTTCAGCATTCATAGTTCAGGAGCTGAATTATCTGCAGAGGTCTCCTCAGACCCAGACAATGGATGTCTCAGAGTAAGCTCAGCTTATTTCTCTCATAATTTAAGATCCAGACATCCAATGACATAACATGGAAATACTTAAGTACAAGTATCACAATACTGTACAGTAGTTGATTGAATGTCCTTAGCTGCATTCCACCACTGGGCAAAAAACCCAAAAGCCTTTGATTCTTTGACTCCACCCTGTGACATTTAACTCAGCCAAAAAGATTTTTTCAACTTTGCCTTGATGTAGCTAATGCTTTTGACAGACTGCATAGTTCAGCTCATTGTTGTTTATGTAATTTTCCCCCAGTTCGGACATGCATCCACAGAGGCCGCTGGTGTGGTGTGTTCTTAAATACGAGGTTCAGCGGCATTAGAAAATGCACCATATGCTTTTTTTCCCCTTAAACTGAGGAGACTCATTACATAACCCTGAAATGTTCTGACAGGAGAACGGCTGATGTGCTGTGTTTGTCCATCCCTCATATGACTGTAACATGACCTTCCCCTTCACTCCGGTGCAGGCTATGGAGTCTCAGATAGGGGACTTTTACAAGGATGTGGGAGAGCTGGGAAGCTTACAGGGGGTCTGCCTACCCCAACGAGGGCTGATGGCAGGTGACAAGGAGGGTGGTGAGCAGTCAGGCGAAGTAGAGACCCGCATCGTCCGCCTCATTGAGCCCCTGAAAGAGAGACGCCGCATCCTGCTGGCTTCCAAAGAGATGCACCAAGTCGCCCAAGACCTAGAGGATGAGATAGTAAGTGCACACTTCTTTTTGTCTGAGTTCCCCATCCTTTTGTTCAGTGCATTTTCTCTTCCACATATACCTTTTTCAATTTTGTACATCTTTCAGAGTTAGTATATTAAGGTCTACTGTGTTATGTTACATGTATTTAAGGAATAAGGATTTAACCTCCTCCACTCTACATCCTCGGCCGTTGACGTTACTGTCTTTCAGAGGGTGTAGCAGGCTCAGTTTTAAAGCTATAGTAAAGATGCTGGTGGTATATGAAACTAGAAAAAGGGCATCCATTGCTACCAACTGTTCCATGCTAGCTTGTCTGAAGGGGGCTAAATAATGCTCCAATTTGAAAAACTAAATCTTGGCGATGGCAAAACTGGCATGGCTACTTTCAAATGGGTCTCGTTACCTCTGGGGTCAAGATATCTGAATAAAAAATGCGTTCTATGTGTACCCACAAGTCTCTCATTTGCAGACATGCCCACTTTATGCTAAACTTATGCAGTTTTGAGCAAATACCATGTGGTTTTGTTTTGCAGTACAAATCGCCAAGTGTATTTAAATATTTCTGCATACTGGGGTCCATAAACAGTACTGGAATTGCATAAATTAGGTATGACTAGAAACCAGAGACCTGAGTGGATTCAATGAGCATAATTGTATTCATGTGTGATGATGTGTGTCCCCATAGTAGCTCTTTGATTTCATGAGACCACTTTTTGAAACTTGACCTCACTGTATAAAATGACCTATTGTTACCTCTAGGGTAATCACAGTCTCATGAAACTGTACAACCACAAACTAGAGACCGAGGGCATTCAGATGAGGTATGGCTTTACTAGGCATATCGACAATTAGGAGGATTCTGAGCAATTTCCAAAAGAGAAGTGCTCGCCATTTATTAGTTAAAAAATGCAGTTCTTCAAGAAATCTCCAAATCAAAAGTTTTTGATACCAAATCACAGCATGATTTTTATGGTGTTCCTCAAGGTCTTGGTGTCTAAATACATTAATTTAAATAAAAATCTAATTTATATATTTTGCAGGGACAGTGCACAATTAAAAATAATTGCACCGCAGTTAGCTAACAACTAAGTATCTGTTGTCCCTGCATCTGTTGTCACAGGTGGTATTGTGGATGGATTTCTGACCATTTTTGTCAATTCTGGCCAGAAAAGGTTACATTTTGCACCAAATCTGTTTGGCCCAAATATGGCTGCAACAACTTAATAGAGACATAATAGAGCCATCATATTCTTCCGTCATAAAATAATAATAATATTTTAATAGACCTCTAAACAAAACACAATGTTAATTACAGATTTATAATTAGAAAACTTGACACACAGTGCTGGCAGATACTGTTGACCGGCTGTCTCCCCCTAGAGATCCCCTGCCCCCCAAAAACAAGACAAAAATTGGTTTATTGTAGGGAGGGGTGAAGTGGAAGAGGTTAAAGAAATAATTAATTCTACAAAATGCAAATCTTCCCCATGGTTTCCATGTTTGATTCTGTGCATAGACCCTTACATTCTGAAAACTGTAATGACCTGACTGTGGTTACTTGATAGCTGTGGATTCAGGAAAGGCTTCCCTTGGCCTCCTGTAAGGATTATGGGAATAACCTCCAGAGTGTACAGCAGCATGTAAAAAAGAACCAGGTAAGTGTCAAAGATGACGTTTGGCCATGATCCACTGAAATTTGACCTAAACCCGCTCAGTCTGGGAACTCACCTCTGATTGGTCCTTCAGACACTCCAGAGGGAGCTGACAGGGCGGCGGGCTCGCGTTGAGGAGGTTCTGGACCGGGCGGCGATCATCGCTTCGCTGAGGACCCCTGAGGTGGAGTTTGTGCGTGAAGGGGCGGGGCATGTGCGCCAGCTGTGGGAGGTTTTACAGCTGGAGACAGAGAGGAGGTCTGTGATGCTGGACGCGGCGCTGCAGGCTCAGCAGTACTACAGTGAGGCGGCTAAAGTGGAGTCCTGGCTGTCAGGTCAGAAGCTCCATCTGGTCAATGAGGAAAAAGGCACGGTACGGACAGCCCTGGTAGTCATACATGTGTTGCTATAAATCCTAAGTGAAGAAACCTACATCCTGATGGTATTGTGATATTTTTCAGGATGAGGCGAGCACCCTGCAGCTGCTTAAGGCCCACCTGGCTCTGGAGCAAACAGTGGAAACATATGCAGAGACAGTCGGCATGCTATCCCAGCAATGCCAGCATCTATTGGAACTTGGACACCCAGACAGGTGTGGCATAACCGACCATACACATATGCTCACATATAGCCCAAGAATGTTCTGTCTATTGTGTAGGATAATATAAGGATAACACTGTCAGTGCTTGTTGGTAGCTGTTACATTTTGTTTTCTCTCACTTTTCAACAGTGAGCAGATCACCAAGCAGCAGTCCCACATAGACCGGCTGTATGTGTCTCTGAAGGACATGGTGGAGCACAGGAAGACCAAGCTGGAGCAGCAGTACTGGCTCTATCAGCTCAACAAGGATGTGGAAGAGTTAGAGAAGTGGATCACCGAGCGTGAGGTGGTGGCCAGTTCCACCGATCTGGGCCAAGACCTCGAGGATGTCACGGTCAGTCCATCAACACGGTTTTAGTGGCAACGCTACTCTAACCACAGGAGATATTCAACTTTTACAGTCATTTATGAACAAACACACCATATCACTTTGTGACATATATCACATCAGAACAATGAAATACAATTGCATTGTTCATGTAATAAAAAACAAATAATCAAACTTAATTAGAGGCCAATAGTCTTTTCATGTCAGGACATGCAGTAGTTGTTTCTGTTCACCAGCTATTACAAAGCCCTGAATTATATATTTATAGATTTATCTACCTCTCATATGTTTCAGCAGTGCATGTCTATATGAACCAGCATGCAGCAATTATTTTAACACTGTAGACTTAAGAATCCACTACACTGTTAGAACATAATAAAACAGCCAATTTAGCTTAAAAATCTCCACAGAAATCAGTTTTATGTGTAGACCAGGCAAAGTGTTTTCCCTGTTTAAAGGTAAAATAAAGCAACGATAAAATACTTTATTTAGTTTTTGATCCCCATTATCTTCTGATCAAATCTCATGATATGATTTTCAGCCTCATGCTAAGAGTATAATTTGATTTTAATGATACCAAAAATGTTTTTCTTGTGATCACAACATAAATGTCCATAGCAAAAAGGCAAAATGATTAAGTGAAAGAGGCCTGTAGTTGTTGTTATGACCACCATTTGTTGTCCTTAGGTAGTGAGTTAAATAATAATCACAAGATTTATTTTATAGGCCCTTGAATCAGTTTGCATTAATGTTTGCCTTTGGCCCCTGTACATACCAAATATGACTTTTATATGCTTTGTTTTATACTTGGCTTGAGTCAGGCATGACATTAAGTACTTAATATGGACATAAAGAAAAATGATTAAAAATAGTATGTATGATAGTGTTTCATATAAAATAACCCCAACATAAAATGCATACCATACATTCCTGCTGTCTGTAGACAAGCTGTGGATACAATTACTTCAACACTAATAGACACAAACTACCAAAGGACTATAGAGTTGAATCTGACAGTGGGTGCTTTCCGTTTGGCTAACGTGGCTTCTCGCCCACACTTACATCTCTTCCTCGCCTCGTAGCTCCTCCCAACAGGGATACAAGGAAGGGAACTCAAAGATGAAGGAGTTTTACTTACCAGATGTTGAAGTTCTCAGCCACTCCAGCATCGTGTTTATGCTGATGAAAAAAAAGTAGCAAAGCGTGTTCCAATCATGATTTGTATCACACACACACATCCAATCATTCTTATGTTATGAATAAACAATCTGTTTGTAGGAAGACCCATCATAAAAGGCACCCTGATAGCTCACAACTGATGCTCTTTATACCGAGACTGAGTCCCTACTGCAGCGGCCATGGGTTCAAATCTCACCTGTGTCCCTTTGCTGCATGTCATCCCCTCTCTCACTCGCCCCTTTCCTGTCTATCTCTCAAGCTGTGCTGTCAAATAAAGGGAAAATAGCCCCAAAATATACATACAACAAATTGTGTATTCAAATTGCTCGTTTTATCTGACCAACAGTCCAAAACTAGAGATATTTAATTTACAGTGATATAAGAGAGAAAAAAAATGAAATAGTCACATTTAGACTTTTGTAATTTTGCTTGAAAATTATTATTATTATCAAATTATTATCAAAATAATTGCCATTTATAATAAAAATAATAATCACCCGCAGTTCCTTTTGCTGTCCCATTAAATCAGCTGACCGATCACTGAACAGATTCAACAGTAAAAAGCATTTGCTTAGGATACACCAGCGATTCCTTGCTGAAGTTCCTTGTCTCATCATGGTTGCATTCAAGGGATCGGAACATCCTTGATGAGGTTGGACCTCTGTTGAGGCTGAAGGGTGAGGTGAGGATGGGAGGAAGAATGAAAAGCACCCACTGTCTCAAAAAATAGTTGATATTATGAGCCTTACAAAGGTCTTGTTGTATTGTATCACAATGAATTAGTTGATGTTATTGTGTCCAGTCCCTGTAGTATTGTGTGGTTTATGTGTGTTCCAGGTGCTTCAGGAGAGATTCACCAAGTTTGCCTCAGAAACCAACAGCATTGGCCAGCAGCGCATGGAGCAGGTGAACAAAATGGTGAACGAGATGATCGACTGCGGCCACTCTGATGCGGCCACCATCGCTGAGTGGAAGGACGGACTGAATGAGTCGTGGGCCGACCTCCTGGAGCTGATGGAGACCCGCAGGCAGATGCTGGCGGCTTCGCACCAGCTGCACAAGTTCTTCACTGACTGCAAAGAGGTAGAGTCAAAACAAAACGTCAGCCTGTGATTCAGGTGTGCCGTGTGCTTCATTGCTGTTTCAAAGGTAGACAGTCTGGCCGTGACATGCGGCTTCTAATTTTAAAGTGCTCGTGACGATGCTGTGTTGTAGGTCTTGGCTCAGATCGCAGGAAAGATGAAGCAGCTGCCAGAGGTGAGGGCATGCCAAGCCAACATCACCAATCCAGCCACCCTGCAGAGGCTCATGCACTCCTTTGAGCATGCCCTTCAACTGCTAGTCGCACAGGCAAGTGATCTGATTTCTTTCCGAAGTCACACAGTGTACTTGCTGCTCATGAGCACAACAATGGGTGCATATGAATTTCACCAAACTTATTTTTGACAATAAACTGTATTGTTGGAATCCATGGAATAACCCACCCCTTAGGCTGCATAAGTATATTTAAATACATGCTTGTTTGAAATAGCTTGTATCCTTCTACTGACTATATTCTACTGTGACTAAGCCACTAACTCCCTTCATCCTGTCTTGGTGCAGGTGAGGCAGCTGCAGGAGAACGCTGCACAGTTGAGAACCATCTATGCCGGTGAGAAGGCTGAGGCCATCATGGTGAAAGAGCAGGAAGTGATGGAGGCATGGAAGGAGCTGCTGAGCTCCTGTGAGGCCAGTCGCGTCCAGGTGACTTCAGTAACCGACAAGGTGCAGTTCTTCTCGGTGGTGCGTGAAAACCTGATGTGGATGGAAGGCATTATGGGCCAGATAGGGTGGGATGAGCCCAGGTAAGGCATCTCTACACCTTCTTTTGTTCTGTGTTAAGATGCATAAAAACTATTGTGTACAGTATATGGTCCAGGTTCAGCAGCTGCAATTTGTGGTTCAGTGTTCGGTTAAACTAAAGGTCTTTGTGGACTTGTGCAGTCCCTTTAGACAGAATTTCATTACAACGTAGCATGGAATTAGGCTGCTGTACCACCTTGACCTAATTTCACATCTGTTATTCAATTTTTCACATGATGTTAATTGAGGGCTAAACATTTTACACTGTAATCACTGCCATTGTTTGTCATTTTACCCAGCCGTACAACTGTGCAACAGGCTTAAAATCACTCTTGGCATGAAATCTTTTAGCAGCTGTTGATATATCAACATACGAATGAACATACAGCAACACATACTGTGGGACCGATAAAGATGGCAAAACATACGTACATGTCCTGTTTCTGTATTTTTTCAAGCAAAAATGACAAAAACTCTGTTGTTCCAGTTTCTCAGTAGTGGACATTTTCTGCTTTCTTTGTCTTATGTCACAATAAACTGAATATCTTTGGATTGTAAACCGATGGTTGACATTGAAAATAATAATTGATTTCAGAATTGATCATTGATTTATGAAACAGAGAAAAGCAGTAAATACCAACGGTCTGAGGATGCTGTGCAGATTGTAAAACCCTTTGAGGCAAATTTGTGATTCTGGCCTGTATAAATAAAATTGACAAATGCTCAAATTTGTGAAGCTGGAATAAGTAAATGTTCTGCTTATTCTGCTTAATAAATGACCTAAATGATGAATTGAAAATCAGAATTCTCCATTCATTTTGACTAAGATGGACCTTAGATTCACACAATGTAACTATACCGTCCCCGGTTCAGCCTTTGTTTCATGTCATCCCCTATATCTCTCTTTCTCCACATTCCTGTCCATGTCTCTACTGTCCAATATCAGACGTTAAATGTTAAAGATCCAAAAAATATTCTTTAAAAAACAGTACTATAGTGTATATAGTCACCGTAGTGGCTCTGTGAGGCTGTAATGCTTAATGTAAATTAGAGCTGCAACCATTAGTTGATTAATCAACTAAGTTAATTCATTGCCAACTATTAAACTGACTCAGCAATCAACCATCTTCAAGCCACTAATCCAAAGTAGCTTCCTGTCTTTCTTGGCTCTGACTGGTTGTTTTCGATCAGGGCCGGTGGATTCTTGTAAATCCCATTAGGAGCACTAGGAGGAGCCAGAAGAACCTGATTTTGTCACAGATTATCTGTCTCGTGTTCTACTGTTTTTTTTTTCAGGATAAATGAAAGTTCAAGCAAATATGACAAAAAGTTATTTTTTATAAAATTACCTACTGCAAGCTTTAATCAAGAACAGTAATCAAACAGATTGAATATGAAAATAATCGTTAGTTGCAGCCTTATTGTAAAGACGTGTTTGATCTTTAGCAGTCGTAGTGGAATAAGTACAATAACTGACCAGATGGTGCTGTCACCATAAATGTCTATGGCAACGGTTATGTAGTCTGTTTGTTGGAGGATGGAGTAAACTGGTTCTGGTACTAGTGCTAGAGGAAATGTCAGGGGATACCAAAGTCATTATTATACATCCTCTGGGCTCCATGGATATCATTAACAAATTTGACTGCAATCATCCATGTTTTGGACCAAAGTGGTGGATTGGCCATCCCTAGAGCCACACCACTAACTAGAAATTCTGATGATCAACTAATTGACTGATTGTTTTAGCACTGGTACTGACCTAGTTCTGTCTTACAGTATATTTTAAACTCTGCGGTTATAAGGATTCCCTTATAGTATTTATTACTTAATCTAATCTGAATAACCTGATTTATTCCTCTTCAGGGATTTGACGGCACTGGAGGTGATGATAAAACAACATCAAGAGCTGAAAGCCAAAATAGATGGCCGCAGCAAGACCATACAGCAGTGTGCAGATCTCGGCAAGATCCTGATAGCCGCAGGCAACCCTGCATCAGAGGAGGTCAGGGTAACAAACTGTACAACCCATACAAATGATAATCACACATGCCACAAAAAAATACATAAAACATACACAATCACTTGATTAAGCAATATGTTGTTTTGGTCATGACTGCAATCTGTCTGTTACCACAGATAAAAGAGAAGTTGGACAGCCTTCTGGCTAAGCAGAAGGATCTTGTGGAAAAATGGGACAAACACCAGGAAAGGTTACAGCGCAGTGAGTAACTCATTAGACAACTACATCAGAGCCGAAGCAGCTCTTAACATGTTAAATGTCAAATGGGCTCAAACTGTAAATGTTTTTTCCACTTTGTCCTGTTAATCATGAATCATGTATGAATCCTATTGTTCCTGTTTGAGCTAACATTACACACTCACTCCGAACATGGCTGAAATGATAAGATCCAAGCTATGATCTAATGCATAAGTATGACCATAATCTACACACAAGTATTTAAACAACAGATTTCTACTGGAGCATGTGCATTAAAATGTGGTGTGAGGGTAACCATGCTGCTGGTCTGCTGTCACCTCCAGAGCAGGAAAGGTTCCAATTTGCCCAGGAGACGGTAAAGGCGGAAGCCTGGCTGAAGGCCAAGGAGCCGCTGATCACCTCCAAGGAGCCAGAGGGAGGAGAGGCCCGGGCCCAAACAGACGAGGTTGAACAGCTCATCCTTCGCCATGAGGCCTTCCGCAAGGCTGCTGTAACCTGGAAAGAACGCTTCAGCTCTCTCCGCCAGCTTTCCGCAGTAAGCTTGACTGTAGATAAATGTTTAATCAGTTTGGGGGAGTCACAATTTAATGCTGCTACATGAAAAAAAAAAGTGACCTTGGGATGTTGTGTTTGCTTAGCGGGCATGGGCGCATGCCATGCGTTTGCATCGTCATGGGCTTCAATCTGTGACGTTTACTGCATGTGGTGCACCCTCACTCACTGCACCCCATCTGCCTTTCATGCTACATTGTTCAGTAGCCAGTAAAACAGACTGGTTTCAGCAAATCATTCTTGATAACATGTTGTACCTGTATTTTATCAGACTACCCTGCCTTGGATGTCTGGTTTTAATTGGGTTTGTGTGGTGCAATTAGTTATTTAGTTAACTCTCTCTTTAGGCTGAGAAGAAAAAAGAGGAGGAGAAAAAGACAACCCCGCTCTCCAGCCGAAGGATGTTCCCATTATCTTGTCTGACTCCCAGTGTTCCCTCAACCAGTGCTACCTCATCTTTCTTGAGGCAGACAGTACAGGGGCATATAGAACCCAAACCCTTACAGACCAGTCTGGATCTGGGTGCCACCCCTGCAACCCAGAGATTGTCCTCGGCCCTAGCCAGTTACAACCCAGTTATAAATGGATCAGGCTACCACGGACTGGAACAGCAGTGCAGTGGAAAGTTGGTGAGCTCCTCGTACCTTGGGATGAACCAACAGGCGTCCGGAGGTGGAAGCGACTCTGGTTTCTCGGCGCTAACCTCCCACAGTGGTGGAGCAGATACTTCTACTTACCTTGGGATAAACCATCAAACTGCTGGCAGTGCAGAGAGCTCTGGCTACTTTGGACTGACTACTGGGTGTATGGGTGGTATGCAAAACCATCTAGGCAGTGTCAGGTTAGGAAGTTCAGGTAACCTAGCTCAGCAGCCAAGCAGCAGCGGTATGGGAAATCCTGGCTTTCTGCCTCAACAGAATATGGGTAGTTCTGGATATTTGGCCCAACCACAAAATATGGGAAGTTCTGGATACTTGGGACAGCAGCCTAATTTAGGGAGTTCAGGATATTTGGCACACCAGCCTAATATGGGGAGTTCTGAGGTATTTGGCACAACAGCACCAATAAATGGGGAGTTCTGGGTATTTGGCCACAACAGCCTTAATATGGGATGTTCTGGTATTGGCACACCAGGGCCTAATAATGGGTTTTCTTGGTGGGGTATTTGGCACAGCAGCCTAATATTGTGAGCTCTGGATACCTAGCACAGAATTATCAGAGCAGTGGGGGAATGGGTAGCTCAGGCTTTCTGGCACAAAATCATTTCAGCAGTGGAAGTCTGGGCAGTTCTGGATACCTGGCGCAGAGTGGTGGCATCATGGACCCTAAAATGGCGTATGCATGGCAGCACCTGAAAGCTGACTTCATGCAGCCCAGGATCAACCACATCCACAAGGCTGTAAACCCCCTCCTAGAAGCCAGTAGAGTGCAGCGGGAACAGTTTGGGGACATCCCAATGGCAGACATGATGGGGCCAGAGTCGGGGCTGGAGCTCCTTCATGGCCGTCTCCAGAGGGATCCCCGTGGCAGCCGCTCTGATCCTCAGATGGACCATCTAAGGCGAGAGAGGGAGTACAAGCTGGGTAGACAGACCTCCAGCGAACAGGAGATCCAGGCAAGGCTGAACGAGCTGCCGCTGATCGTACGTCAGGAGCGCTATCGGAGGCGCCTGGAGAGGCAGTCATCCAGTGAACAGGAGGGGAGCAGCAAGCAGAGACTGCAGAGGCAGGACTCGAGTGACCTGGAGGGCTCTGTTAAGGATGGCTCTGACAAACGCTCAGGGTATGTGAATGAGTTGTGCTGGTGACAGTGAAATTCAAATGATCTTCACAAAATTTGGCTTTACAGTTTGCCTAGTCAGCACTGTCCAGCATAATCCGAATGATTTTTAATGATTGTGTGTGTTTTGGGTGACTCACGTCTGTTGTCATTGCAGGGATAAGAGATCTACCATGGCAGAGATTGTAGAACAAGTCCAGGAAAGAGAAGCAGCAAATGTGAGTTAGCTTACATACAGTACACTGTATGTTCATTTTGTGTCTTAGAGTAACATTTTCTTTTCTTCTGCTTTCTCAGGCACGAGGAGAGCCTTATCGGCCTTCTAGCAGCCTCTCAGCGCCTGTGACTCGTTTTGACGGCCGCCCTCGTGCCCGAGACCGCCCCAAACCGAGGAGGAGGCCCCGTCCTAAAGAGCCTGAGGAGACACGCCGTTCTCGCTCAGCTCCAGCTACTGGTGCCCCAACAACACCTCAGCCACCTTCACACACTGCCCATAACGAAGGCTTCCTCTACCGCAAAAAGGCCACCACCTCTGACCTTGAAGCCCAGCAGAGAAGCCCAAACAGGTGCAACACCACTGCACGACAACAGACAAAGCTAACAGTTGACCCAATCATAGCAACCGTGTTGGCACAACAGGCCCTTCGGTCTTTGGATTTCTCCACATGATGATGCAGTGTGCATGGAGCTCTAACAAGTTTGGAGGATGGTGTCTTTTTTTAAACGTTTCCAAAACCAAAAATTTAAGGTTAAACCGCATGTTTGCAGAGCCCTGGAATGGCCATAGAGAGAATATATATATGATTGATATATTGCTATATATTGAAGCCACATTTACTACATTCCGGCTTGAAATTCCATGCATACAAGATACAATTTGTTCCCTCACTTTGATTAATTAGATTTGAACTAATCATGAATCAATCATGTTGTATGCATCCATCCACATCATTCATGGGCAAAGCTGAGCTGCCAAGTGCACCCACTGTAGGACTATCCTATAAAATTAACCTGATTCTTCACCATCTTCACCAAAATGAACCTACGTTGAACACACAGACTATCAACACATATAACATTTTGCCAACCTCCGCTTGTTTTCTGATAATTATCTGACAACAATTATATCTTCTACCAAACTTCAGCCCCAAAGGCTTATTAGAATTAGTCTTTACACACAGAGGGTCTTGGATGACAGACTGTAGTTTGTGTGTTAGCATAGGATGTTCTGTTAGCTCTCTGTACACACTTATCTTGTGGCCACGAATTTTCCTTATCAACACTAGGAATAACTACCTCTACAATGTAACACAAGAGCAATGCTTTTTCTTTATTTCCATGTCCTCTACATGGATCATCTGGTGAGGATGCAGACTTTTTTCCAATAACATGAAGCATTTATCACAATATTTTAGACCCTTTATGAAAGATGATCAATTTAAACAAGTCAACTGGAAAGCCTGCTTTTATCTACCTCTGTCTGCAATCAAGTCCCCCATACTTCTTAAAAATTTAAGAATTCCCATGGTAAATCTGCCGGGTCTATCACTGTGTACAGCATATGTGCAGGAATGGAAAGCTTCATAGTAGCAGGTTCATAGCAGGTTTGTTGTTGTACCTTCGTACTGACTGTGTATGTATAATTTTGGTAGAAGCAAGAAGTTACATCCAACTATCCCAAGTTGTGTCCAGAAATGTATTCAATCAATCAATTTGTTGAGATCTTGTCATTTTGATTTTACAGCAAATCCTGGGTGAACGTATATTGTGTGCTGAAAGAGGGAAAGCTGACCTTCTACAAGGATGCAAGGAACCACAACACAACGTACAATGAAGAGCCTCCTGTTGACCTTAGTACCTGCTCATTTGATCCTTCAATGGGATACAAGAAGAAGAAAAACGTCTTCATTCTTCAGTAAGAGCTATTTTATTGTGGCATTTGTGATTTTAAATTGTGATTGAGTTATTTTCAAAGTGTAATGTTTATTTACAATTAAAATAAGAAGTTATAGCCTATAGCCTATTTCTCTAGATTTAAGAGAGAACCATCAAATGTGCAATATTACATTTCTTCCGATACCAGTATCAGAAATTCCTCCGATATTGCCTAAAATGCAGAAATGGGTATCTGTGAGTGTGCGTCTGTACATCATACTATGTACTTCATTATTCCCGAAACGGGACCCTGCTACTTCCCAGCAGTGTCCTGTTCGCCATTTTTTCCCCAGGATAGCGAAAGTCATGACCTGCCCTACTCTCACTCTGAGCCAGGCCATACAACAATGATTGCAAACATACAGGCTTAACAGTATAAAAAATATATTTGCACATACACTTACACACACACATAGGGCTGTGTATTGTCAAGAATCTAGTGATATACTGCACATCACGATACAGGGGTTACGATTCAATATATTGCACATGATTACAATCCTGTAATCAAGGCGATATATTGAGATTTTTTTAAATCTAGTTTCAGGAAAATTAAACATTAAAACATTAAAAAAGAACATAAAAATATGTTATAATATGCATAAAAGATAATATAATAAAAATCGAATAAAAAAAATAAAATCTGTGTTTAAAAAAAGGTTTACTTTTTGATGCAACCAGAACAGCGGGCATATGAATTTGTATTTATCACAGTCCCTGTAATATCAACTTCCCCTGAGTTTACGTTTCCAACACTGCTATCTAGCGGTTTGGGGTTTAAACACAAAAATCAATAGTGAAAATATAAACCCTTGTGGAATTATCTTAAAATGGGATGACTGTTTTATTAGAAAAGCATCTTCATTCAGTCCTCCTTCAGTGTTTTTGAGAATCCATACAATATCACAACACAAAATATCACAATACGATGCTTTTCCATTTTTCTACACATGGAAAATCGGATTGGTACTCTGAATCAGCCAATACGCAAAGTTTAGGTATTAAAATCAGTATTAGGAAGGAAAGAATGGTGTCAGAACATCTCTAAATGTTATTGTTATTATTAATGCATGAGAAACTCACAGTCCCTGTTGATTTTCTTTGCAACAGAATGAAAGATGGAAACAACTTTGCATTCCATGCAAAAGATGAGGTAAGGAATTTTTTATTTAATCATGTTTAAGACAAGCAAACATAGGACATAATCCACTGTCCTTTTCTTTAGACCTGCTATGTATCTAGGTCCATGAGAGATAGCACCTCTGTAATTTAGGTTGGCCAAGTATTGTCTGTGTATCCCAAACCTGGAATTGCTTATTAGGCTTTTTCCATTACCATGAACTAACACTGTAGTTTATTTTGACTCGATGCCACATACACCGTCCTGCTGCCCCAATTACTTACTAATGCACCAACGTGGATTAATCCGCAGCTGAAAATAGTCCCCAACAAATGCACCATTTCTTCCTGTTTTCAGTGACAAAAACTAGTAATCAGCTGCTTTAGTATTTACTGAGCCTTTCTAAATCAAACTATATATTTGTGAGCCATTTTAAAGATTTATGTCTTCAGTAAGTTTATGACATTTGCTGACAATAATAAAAATATAAAATATCACCACCCTTATCCTTGAAGAATAATAACCAGAATAATAACCAGACAAGCAATGCTGGGAAAAAAAAGAATAGATTCAAGACATTTTGTTCAGTTTTCACACCTTTTGATCATCACCTTCTGCAAATAAATGTCAGACATTGCATCAGTTTGCTATTTTTAATTTCCTTCCTTTTTGTGTTTCTCTATTAGATTACAAAAATAACACGATATGAGCAGAATATACAGTACACTGTCTGTATTTTCAGAGATCAGGACAACGGGGGAATATTTATTTATTGTCAGGGAATTATCTCAATCCAGTTCCTATATGGAACCTGTACTCCCTACTGCGTATAGGTCTTCAAGAGACTTATGAAAGACTTGAAACATGAAACACTTCACTGGAAGGACCTAGTCCCAGCTTTTTTAAAGCTGCACCAAGTCTGCTTGTCTGCTACATTCACTTGTTCTGTGTTCTCTTCTGAAAAAAATCTGAAAACCAAGAGGAAGATATTTATATTTGACACTTTTTTATTTCATAGTTTTGCATTAATTTGAGTTGCGGTATTCGTCTGTTGGAGACCTTTTTTCAATACAGCCAATCAAATATTGGATACATGGTCACACTGAGCCAGACAGCAGCCTGCTACACAACACAAGACTCTGAACATCAGACCAGCTTCCTGCTAAACTCTAACTTACAAACATCAACACACGTCTTGTCCTGCATCTTAACTTGTTGAATGAGCGACCATACAAACATTGACTTGGGAAAAGCGCGCTGTTAAAACCAGTACATTAAACAGCATAAGCTAACCTGCAAATGTCCCTACTGTCCAGTTAGATGCTAGTGTGGTCTTTACTCTTCAATACCACTAACAACACGCAGTCTGCCCATCTCATGTAGGCTACAGCCCAAGTTACTTGATTTTGTCTCTTGTTCTCTAGTAACAAAAAACTAAATTTGATCTACAAAACTTTGACTACAAAAAGAGATGACTAAATGTGATTTCTGTTGGACTTTAAATGTTTCATGCACTTAATCTCCTAGAAAAACATCAAGTGATGGGCAAATTTGAGGTACTTATATTTCCATTTTATGCAACTTTATATTTCTGCTTCACTACATTTTGGAGGGAATTTTGCCTTTTTACTTTTTACTGTACTATATTATTTTGACAGATATAAACACTTCCCCTCTAAACTTCTTAGATGTTTTCGCAGTTTGAGGCCCAAAGAGGTAAAACGATCCAATATTTATTTAAACAGAAAGATTACAAAAAATCCAAAAAATGAAGACAGATTTATGTAAGTCCTTTAAACTACCTAATCGTTGAAAAAAAAATATCTCCACCTAAACCAGCTACAACAGTAAAATGGCGTTTACACATTGATGCATCAGTATGAACAATCTAATGATGTCATATATATTAATATAGGAGTTATTGCTGCAGAATGAGTAATATAACTTTTTATGGTAAAGGTCCAGTGTGTAGGATTTAGTGGCAATCTGCAGTGTAGATGCAGATCGAAGCTCCATCACTTCCAGCCTTCCCTTCCAAGGAGAGATCTATGGTGGCTGGAAAACCGTGAAAACGCCCTATCTAGAGCCAGTGTTTGATTTTGTCCTTCTGGGCTACCTGTAGAAACCATGGGTGGTTCAACATGGCGGCCTCCGTGGAAGGCAACCAGTGGCGCCTGTAGATAAAACCTCAAAAATGCTCATTCTAACGTTCTAACAAAAACATAATGATTGGTATATTCAAGCTAATATACACTAATGAAAACATAC